GTACAAATCAACAGCAGACTTAATTTCAAAGTTTCTGATATAATGTGATTGATATCAAAATGTTATAACATCATATTTATGCAGTCTTCTCATATAGTAGCTAATAATTTAGCATGTTATGATGACAAAATATTTTAGCAGTGATTTTTTCAACCTGTCAGTTATCATAACATACCAAAACATCATGGTTGTCTTGTACCAAAACACATATCAGCTCAATATGAAGAACCCAGAGCTTGTGGAGCAGTCACCAAACTGATGCTTAGTGTATTTATTTAAAGGATGAACTACTAGTGCCACACAGTTTTTGTGATGCAATGTTTATGTTTATATCAATTATTCTTATATACAGTTTTCAAAATTCAGAAAAAATCACATTCTGTTGGCTAAAAGCCTATGATTTGGTGACTTTGTCTTCTAGCTTTTGACACCTGACACACACACACACACACACACACACACACACACACACACACACACACACACACACACACACACACACACACAAACACACACACACACACACACACACTCACACATACACACTCACACACAACCACCACACACTCACACACACACACTCACAATACACACACACACACACACACACACACTCACACACACACACACACACACCCACACACACACACACACACACACACACACACACACACACACACACACACACACACACACACACACACACAACACACACACACACACTCACAACACAAACACACACACACTCACACACACACCACACATAAACATATATATAATATATATATGCAAACACATGCACATGCACCAGCACACACACATACACATACACACACACACACACACACACACACACACACAAATATAATATATATATGCAAACACACGCACATGCACCAGCACACACATGCACACACATACAATATATATATGCAAACACATGGACATGCACCAGCACGCACACAAACACACAAACACACACACACACACACACACACACACACACACACACACACACACACACACACACACACACACACACACACACACACACACACATATATAATATATATATGCAAACACACGCACATGCACCAGCACACACATGCACACACATACAATATATATATGCAACACATGGACATGCACCAGCACACACACAAACACACACAACACACACACATACGTGTGTGTGTGTTTGTGTGTGTTTGTGTATGTGTGCGCGCATGCCAGAGGTTAAGCATGTGCATGAATACATATCTGCATTTACAATTACTCTCTCCCATTCTAAACTTTTCATCAAAAAACATGAAATAGCATAAATGAATCAGATGACTACCATAAATCATCATCATCATCATCATGGGGGCTGACGCCGACGGGGGCGCATAGCCGCATTCACCCTTCGCTTCCACCTACGAGGATCCCTCATGGCTAGACGCCAGGCAGGGACTCGGCCCATCTCTAGTTCTTTCACGGCAGGTTTGTCGATCTGCCCAAGCCATGACTTCTCGGTCGTCCACAGGCCTCCTCCATCCAGGGTGTCTCGAATAGAGACGACCTGATGGGCAGGATCATCCTGAGGAAAGCGAGCCAGGTGGCCATATAGCCTGAGTTGGCGATCACGGATTGTGCCAGATAACAGGCTTGTGCCAGTCTCACGGTGCAACCGTTGGTTGGGACACATGGTCCCGCCAAACAGTACCCCCATGATCTGGCGCAAGGACCTATTACAAAAGGCTTCAAGACGGCCTCCAAGGCACAGGACAATGTCCAGGTTTCGCTACCCCGTATAGCAAAACTGGCATTATCAAGGCTTGAAAACCCGTAGCTTGGTCCTCTGCACAGGTACCGACATCTCCAAATACTCTTGTTGAGAGAGTTCATGACCCCTGCTGCCAGGCCAATCCGTCTGCTGACTTCATGGTCTGACAGCCAGAGTTATGAACTACACTACCAAGGTATGTAAAGCCTCTGTGACTTCAATGTCCTCGCCGCAAGCACGTACCGACTGAACAGGTTTCTCCTAACAAGTCCCCCAAATTCCTGGGACCTTGGTCTTGGTCCAGGAGACCTCTAGACCCAGGGGCTTCGCTTCATTGCTAAATGCATCGAGAGCCGCACTAGGGTTTCCAAAGACTCAGATAGAATGGCAACGTCATCAGCAAAGTCAAGGTCTGTAACCTTGATATTGCCCAGCGTTGCCCACAATGACTTTGAACAGTAGCTCTGCCCAGTATCCAGTCCATGCAAGTGTTGAAAAGAGTTGGTGCAAGGACACAGCCTTGCCTCACTCCTGAACTAACAGGAAAGAAGCTCGACAGCCCCACCACACTTTACAGCCCTTTCAGTACCAGTATATACAGGCTTGCTATTAGTCCAATAATCCTTGTGGTATTCTCTCAGCTCAGGATCTCCAAAGTGACTCCCGATGCACCGTATCGAACGCCTTCTTGAGATCGATGTAGGCTGCAAGCAGCCCACGCCCGAACTCACGACGGCGCTCTACAATGACTCGAAGCGCGAGGATACGGTCTATTGTGGACTTACCAGGAGTGAATCCGGATTGCTCCAGTCTCTGGTGCTCAGTAGATGGTCTCTGATACGTCTCAGAAGGATGTGGGCAAGAACCTTGCCTGGTACACTGAGCAGTGTGATGCCTCGGTGATTGCTGCAGTCCAACGGTCCCCCTTCCCCTTCCAGAGAGGGATGACCACACCTCAACAGGTCAGGAGGAATGGAACCGGACTGCCAGATGGCAGCCAGGACAGCATGTAACCCCGTGCCATAGGTTCACCACCAGCCTTTAACAGTTCAGCTGGTATGCCGCAGATACCAGCTGCTTTACCACTCTTCAGCTTGGAAATCGCCCCCCTAACTTCAGTTAGGGAGGGAGGGTCCTCACTGATAGGTGGATTCGGCAGCGGGATCTCGACACTACCCGCATCCAAGTTAACTGTTGGTGGGTCAACCTGGTACAGCTGCTCAAAAATACTCAGCCAACGTCCCGCACCGCAACAGGATCTGAACGATCTGACCACTTACTGAGCGAACTGCTGTCACCTGTGAAGAGGGGTTGGAGTTCAGCTTTCTCAGGGCTTGGTATGCAGGACGAAGGTCATTTACTAAGAAATGGCCTTCTACCTCCTCTGCAAGACTTCCTAATAAACTGTTCCTTGTCCTTCTTAACAGGGACCGAGTTCTGCGCACATGAGAACGGTGCAATTCCGATCCCCTGTCAGACGAGCCGCACGACATGCATCAGTGGCTTCCAGTGTCTCCCGCGAGATGGAATTCTGTACTGCTCTCGGGCGTACACCAATCGTATCTTGAGCTGTATCAAGCGTTTCACGCTTAAAGGTATCCACAGAAGAACAGGGTCTGTCAGACTGCCAAGCACTGCGAAACGATCAGAGATTGCCTCAGCAAACCTGCGGGCACACTCCCCCTCCCTCAGCCTGTCCAAATGAAACACCTAGGGTGATCATTTGACCGCTGGGGGTTTTGAAGTGGCCCGGAGGGTAGCCACAACCAATCTATGGTCAGTAACCACAGAACTCAGCACTCCTGAACACCCTGCAATTCTGAAGGATCCTCCAACGAGTGCTAACAAGTATGTGGTCGATCTCTTGGCTGCGTTACCCGCATCACTGTACCATGTCCACGCGATGTGGGTCTGGGCGCTGGTACCAGGAGCCAGAAATCCTCAATTTCTGGGATCTTGCAAAGTCCCGGAAAGGAGGCTATTCTCGCTACCGGCATCAGCTCCTGAACCATGGGGACCGACAGACATCTCATAGCCAGCTCGATCACAGCCAGATACCGCATTGAAGTCGCCCAGAACAATGCGAATATCTCGTCGAGGGCATCTGTCTGCCACAGATGTAAGTTTGGCGTAGAACATGTCTTTCACGTCAAGTTTACAAACATCGGTAGGAGCGTACACAGCAATAAGAGACATGAAGCCAAAAGAAAGCTTCAATTCAATACATTATACGCTCATCAACAGGAGTAACCTCCACTACAGGGCTGGAGTCTGCTGGAGACGGCAATGGCTACTCCCTGGAGATGGTGGCCATCGCTGCGGCCCGACCAGTAGTAGGTGTAGCCACCTACACAGGTCATGCCGCTGCCAGGCTCCTCACCTCCGAGAGAGCAGCCACCTCAACTCTCAGCCTCCCCAGTTCCCTCGACAGTAGAGGCAACCGATCATCCTGACGCAAAGAACGGACGTTCCAAGCCCCCACCCTAACTTCCCGCCTGAGGTTCAGCCTCTGGCAGTCGCTCCGGGTGGATGCCACCTCTGCCACCCCACCGACGCTGCCCCATATAAAAGGGGGGTGGCGGCTGCGTGCCCCATCATCCACCTGTGGGGTTCCGAGGGCTTTCCCCCACAAGCTTCACTCTGGGCTGGCGGCCACCAGAGCGCAGGCGAGACGGGTAGTTCCCGTTCCCAGCCTGCGCTCCAGCAGTCGCCCCCCAGGGCCCACAGTCCGCCTCACTAGCTGGGTGGGAGGGGCTTCCCCCTCCTCCCAGCCTCTCCATTTATAGTTTTGCATTGCCGATTGGTTTATATCTGGGGGGAGGAGGACTGGCAAGGCCCACCTCCCCGAGCCTCCCATTAACCCCAGGGGCTAGGGGCAGCAGGAGTTGGTACAGGGGCCAGGGCGTGTCCAACACGCCGGTGGGCCATGGCCCTGGACCTCTGGGCCTCCTGCTGCTCCGAGATCCCCTCAGTTTAGCTGGAACCGCAAGGTACCCAGTTTCCATGGGCGGCCACGAGGAGGCACTGCAGGGAGTCTCGATGATGGAGAGGCTATGCACTGGCAGGGGGAGGCTTATGCAGAGCTGCTCCCTTTTTCGCACGAGGCTAGCCAGCGGTGGCAGCTGCAAGCGAGAAGGCATGCACAAGCTCTTAACACTAACTAGACTACCACTAACTAGACTACCACTCCATCGCTTCACACCACCCTGCGCATGAAGCACCCACCAAATCATCAAAAAACATGAAATAGCATAAATGAATCAGATGACTACCATAAAGCAACATTTCCTTTAAATCTCTTTCCAAGAAACAACTAATATCTACTATTGGGTGTCTACATATTAAACTCTTTCCTTATAATAAAAATAACAATGTGGAAGCTTTGCAAATGAGTGATTTCTTTAAAATATCAGGCCATAGCTGGGTTACCTTCAATGTACATGTATAAAACAGACATGTTTATTAGCATCTTCAAGAAAAATTTCAATATATCAAAAAGATTCATAAAACAAACTGCTTGAAATCTGTGCTTTTCTAAATACTATGAACATGTTTACAAAAGTATCATTAATATAATTCACAACTTAGTGACCTATCATCTGATTCATTCTCAGCTACTACTGATATGTTCTAAAATCACTACTAAGAGAAATTAATTTGGAAGATTCAATTAATGCATTTAACCTTTTCTATTTGATATAACTTTATAGACTCCACACATGGAAAGAAAGAATGAAAAAAGAAAGAAAACTCAACCTTTGGTTAAAACACATCAGGAAGCCTATTGGATCCCATTATCAAAACAACCCCCAACCATTTCAAACAATCCATCTGGCAACCATAGAATTAATGAAAATCACAGGAAGGGATGCCATACCCTGGGCAGCTACCATCCTGCCTTGATCTTAGGCATCAGCTGGAGGAGATGTTTCCCTCTGTGTCTTTTGTGCAGCCAGGATGGACAGCTGGTGGACCTGTTCTGAGAGATTGTCCACATCCTGATGAAGCTGCATGTTCTTGGATAGTGTTTCTTCGAGGAGGCCCTGGAGACGGCGGTTTATCTCCTTGGTGGATTCCTCACTACTATGGCCTCGGACCACCTCCAGCATGCGTCTCACACTCAGTTTCTCACCCAAATTGGCAGCTTGTGGAGAAGATGGAGTGGATGGTGTGCTATCTGTAAAATAGATGATAATGCTGAAGGATTTGCTTTCTAGTAACACCCAAGAAATCAGAGTAGCTATGGTGACAAACGTCTTTTGACTTTTATCCAAAAGAAGTAACTTTTCGCCATCATTTTTTAAATTTGTTAAAATAAAGTTTTTTATCTTAATTTTTTTTAATCATAGAGGCATATAACAAAAGTCATTCTTGTAAATATGAAAGATGAGTTTTTCATGTCATAAGATCCATCTTTCAAGAAGTAGCTGCCAATTCATTCATTATGTCCAAGAAAAATTACTAATACTCATTGGTTTTCTGAACTAAATCCTGTCCTCCATTTCACTCATACATGCCATGTCCACTGTGACTTTGATTCATTAATTTTGTTGACACATATATGGATCCACAAAAGCTAAGACAACAAGGAGGCAGTTACTTGTCCTAATTGATCTCATTTGCTTACCCTTTTCCTTGATTTTCAGATAAGTTTTCTTGCTTTATATATTATTGTTATTAGTATTGATATTGACATCACAATAATCCTAAAGTAAAAAAAAAAAAAAAAAAAAGAAGGAGAAGAAGAAAAAAGATCCAACAGTGAAGGAATGGTCATGATATGATGCCGCATGGTACCTTGTCCACAACAGCCATGGCAAGTACGAACATGCCATCCGGCAGAAAGTGATTAATAGCTTTGAAAACCACAAAACTGTTTCCCCCATATTTAAAGATTGGAGATATCAGGTGATGTCTGAGAGGCCTTGGTAACTACATGTTGTGGAATTATCAATATAAAAACAATATTACCAAAACGCAACAACTGAGGACAGCACAATTAACTAATGCCAATGAGTGATTAGAAAATCAAATAAACATATAATGTATTTCTGATGTTACTACACTACTGTTACCAATAAGAACAATAGTAAACATTAAACATATCTAAAAGTTAGTGATCACTATTTATACATGCCACTGATGATTTTAGGGGGGTAGAAATAAGTGAAATATGAATGATTTTTAAAATAGCTGGGTTGACATGTATACCAAAGTTAAGGCTAAAACAATTAAGACATACCTCAACCACACAAAATCTAGGGTGGCTGATGTTATACAAGGTTGCCAAGGTGGATTTTTCTCTTAATTTTTCTTTTTTGTGGCTCTTAGATGCACTGTGTAAATTAACAAAAACAACTTACCAACTTTCTGGTCCATACAATAATGTTGGATGATGGCTGATTTCTTCAACAAATCATCAGCCATTGCTGAACAGGATGACTCTAAGTGAGTGATGCGTTCCTCTAGCTGCCACTTCTGTTGTTGGAGATCTGTGAGTCGATTTACAAGGGAGGCCGTTTCCTCAGTTACTACACCAGGAGGGGGTGAGCCCTAAGGGATATGAAAAAAAGATTAATCTTGATTTTCATCACTCTTTTTTAGTATCTCTAAAACACTCCTATTAGGATAAGTTTCTCCCACTTTTATAAGATACTTGCCCTTATCATACTATCTAATATTTATCAAATAAATAAATATTCATGTGCGGCAAACCTGTGGTGAGGCAATGATGCTGTTTTCCCTTGTAGAAGAATCCCGGGGTTCCCCTGACACCATAGACCACGAGGAAACACTGCTCACATCATCACCGACTTCTGACATTGCTATAAGGGAAATGGTCATTACACTAGGAAGTCTGGAGATTTGTATCCAATTTTTCACATAAAGATAGATTCAGTTAAATAAAGATATACATTTACAAAAGCATACATACTCGTAATTGCAGTTAACTGAGCTGGATCTGTCAAGAGCTGGCTCAGCTTCTCCTGAAGGCGATCTGCCCGTTTCCGCTCAACTGCCAGCTGTTTCTTAAGGTCTTTCAGCAACGTCATCCCCTTGCGCTCATGAATCCTTTGCTCTTCTTCTCCATCAGAAACCTGATAATTTTTTGTGGGGGAATATAAATATTGAGCTATTGTGTAAATGCTCCTATTTATTTATTTATTGAAAAAATCCAAGTGCACAATAAGAGAAAGATGGCAATATCAATGGCACTACCTTTCGTTTCAAGGATTCTATGGCTTCTTCACTCTCTTGTCGCTGTATATTGCTGATTTCAAGTTGTGTTTGTAGGTCCTTGTTAAAGAAAGAAATAATACAATAGTGCAAGATTTAAAAATTATACACATTTTGATGATACAAAAATAAATAAGTAAATAAAAAATTCATACATACATTTATCAACACATGAATTTTAACCTTTTATCTGATTACTATCTACTTCATATGGCGTGTTCTTGATAATTTTTTCCACAATTTAACACACAACACAACATTTAAAAAAATAAGGTTATCCCTATTCAATAAAAAGAAAATTTCAGCTTACTTTCCTCTCTTCGTCCCAGCTGTTCCTCATGTCTTGCATTTCCTGTAGCTTCTCAGCTGTAACCCTGTTGATTTCCTCTTGTGTCAGTTTATGGGCTGCTTCTAGGTCTTCAAGCAGCTTTGTGTTTTCTTCCTGCAGCTGAGACTTCTGACCCTCTAAAGACCTTACATTTTCTTTGAGATCCATTACTTCATTTAACTTCTCATTCACATCATGCAGTTGGGCCTAAAAGAAGGGAAGTAAAAGTTAGCTAGGAAAGTGTGCCTGTGCTTGATTTACATACTCTCATTGCTATATACAAACATAAATCTTGCATTTCTATGTCAGAAGAAAGAAAGAAAGAAAAAAAATTAACACCTAGGTAACAAAAAATTAATATCAAAACCGACATTCCCTGCAAAGACTATGCTCTCATACCTTAAGCTGTTGATTTTCCATGGACACAGCTGCAATCTCTTCCCCATGACGCACTGAGAGTTGTTCAACTTCTTGTTTGTGCCGTTGAGCTTCTTCCTCTAAGTGTGCCTTCATTTCCTCAATGAGATTCTTTCGACTCTCTGCCAACTGAGAGAAGTGAAATTAAGTGACTGTAAGCTAAAGTTACTAATGCCCTTGTTATTCATTCTATGTAACTAGTTCTCATTCAAATGAAATCTCTCATCCAATTACAACATCTATAACACTGGCTATGATAAGTCTGAAATATATGAACCTTTGTTTGTTCTTCAGTCTGTGCCCGCTGGGATTCACCCTCTTTGCTGAGCTCAGTGACCTTTAGTTGGAGGTCATCTTTTTCCTTCACCAAAGACTCCTTCTCTTCTAGCAGGTTACTTATTTCCTCAGTTAATGCATCCACTTTCTCTTGAATACCTAAAAAGTTGAATACAGTTTTAGAAATACCAGAGAAATGCATACAAAAGCTAGAATCAGCATAATACCTTGTGCATATTTGCGTTTATTTTCATTACTGTTGTAGGCTACATATCAAAAGAGATCCATATAAACACATCAAATGCCTAAACAACAAATAAACCAATTAAATTATACAAATAGAAATAAGGTAAAATCAATACTCTGGACACATCATTCACTCTGTCAGCAGCCCAAGCACAGTCATCCAACAAATTTCCAAGAAATCTGAAGACATACCTTCCAGCTTGCTCTCCTTCTCCTGAATCAGAACCTCATTTTCTTCTATTCTCTTCTCTGTTGCTTCTAGTTTCTCCTTTAGCTGATCGACTGCCTGAAGCAAACTGTCACACTGTGTGGTCTTTTCAGTGAGGCTTGAGTCTGACTGCACTAAATTCTCCTTTGTCTCTTTCAGTTCACTTTGTACCGTCCCCAGTTCTTCCCTATAAAGGTGGTCATAATTAGCGCATAAACCTAGGATAAGGGAATAATATTGCTATCTGATTAGCTTAAAAAGAAAAGATAACGTGACATTGCTAGTTTGAGTAATTTAGTCTGGTAACTTTCAAAACAAATTTCTCTGAAGAATGTATATAGCATTTAAATGATCTGCTATTCCTGGAAAATAATAGTAGTTTCATAGAAACTCAATCAAATTATTTAAAAAAATAATGACTCTGCATGCCTACCAATAAATCCCATTCATCCAAATATCTTAACACTAACATAAAAAAGTTTTAAAAGATACGTCTACACCTGTTCCTTACAACCTCCAATTTGTTGGCCATAATTCTCCCTATTCTATTTTGCAGTTATATATAAATGCATTCTATTTGCTTATATCTATTTTACTGGTTATTGGTGTTCTTCTTTACCATAAGGTATAAAAAGTCAACAGATAATTTGAAGGGACAATCTCAAAATACACATATGTGCCACAGATAGTAAATGGGTTATTAACAATGCAGTGAAAATCAGATGCTTTATATTAAAGAGACAACATATGCTATCTATCTATTTCGTATTCAAGCCTAATCACTCATTAATATATAATACAATCTGTCTTGGTTATAAGCAGAGCATTCTGGCTACTAATATTATGAACATCTATAATGTCTTAAACCTATGCCAGTTTCAAAACTTAAATGTTACTAGTAATTAACTACGCATCTATTTTTTCTAATTCTCAGGAAGAAGAGAACCATAAAATTTCTACTTCCCAGGGAAAGGAATACTGTAACACATTTATAAAATATTGTTAAAACATACTAAGCTTTGTGGTAAAGTACTGGGATAACTTCTCCCTAATTAATACATACCTGATGTCACAGGAGCCAGTTCATGCAGCAGATGATATAAGCCCATGCTGATAACAAGTACTGACTACACACATTGTACTTAGCCACTATCTCATTTGTAGTACTTTGTAGAAGTGATGCAAAGTATACTAAAACTTATACAATTATGCTTTTCTTATAATACTAGTAATATGAGTGCTCCTTCACATCTATTCAGGTACGATAAAACCAACAGGATCATCTTATTCAAGTTCAGTGATACTGCTTAGGTTCACCATTTGGGTTGCACTGCTCTTGTGACAAATCTACATACTGATTTATGTGCAATAACCTACAATTTCAGAGTCCTGTGTGCCTATAAGACTTACCTGTTACCAAAGACTCAAGGTTTATATAAAAAATAAAAAAATCTTTCACAGTTAATATAAAATCGAATCCAGAAAAATGAAGCAGCCCATTAATAATGGCAATCATTAGAATTTCACCATTAAATAAAGATCTAAAAATCACACTTACCCAAAAGATAATGTGACAACTGAAATACTATTTGATCTTATTTTACTTGATAATATAATCTAATTTTACAGCAACACATGATCCTGCCTTTTCATATCCCCTAAATCTTGAGTTCACAGCTAAAGAATCAATCCAGACTTAGAGAAATTAAAAAATTCATGAGGCACAAATACATGCACTTTGCTCAGACTGACAAAGCAGAAGCTGAGTGAGGATATGTCTGCCCACACTCATAGCCCTTACCTTAGCTGTGCCTCTACCTCTTTCTGCTTCCCGGCTTCGTGGTGTTTCTTTTGCTCCAATTCTCTGCTCTTCCTCTCGGCCTCGGCCAGTGCTTCTGCTAACCTATTGAAGCAGGTTCACTAATAATACTACTTCAGTGTCAAAACTTTGAGACCTTACTTTCTTTTGTATAATTTGTTTGCAAACTAAAAGGAAGGGGTCTGTCCCAAAAAGCTTTGGAAACTACCATGCATGATGCAATACATCATTTTTGTTTATATATACCAAAGAAAATAGTTTAGTTAAGCAAGGCTAAGAATTTTATTTCATCTCATTTCAAGCCCAGGCTAAACCAAACCTGCATCCATATAAGACCAAACTCCCAACATACATACATACTACAATATACAATGGTAATTCCAACGGCAATTCCAAAAAAGTTTAAATAATGAAAAACCCTTCAACCATCTTAAACTAATGTAAACCCTTCATTCAGTACACTCATTATCATACAAATAAAGGTTATATTTATAACTTGTCAAATTTCATGTAGTACTCTTGAATAAGGTAATTACACTGCTATGCTGGCAAGAGATACATAACCTGCCATCATTTAATCTAGACCAATGAATACGTCTTTGTAGTTCTTGTTTATATATATTTTTTATCTTAAGACTGTCCATTGACAAAACATCAAAAATATATAAAATAGTTATCAACTGCTCACATCCTAAAACAATTTTCTTAACTATGTTGGTCACTTTAGCTGACACACGAATCAAAATAATCAATTAAAAGGGATCATATACATTGTATGATTGTGGATCTCCTACATGAAATATCCAAAAAGTATATAAACATGAGACAAGCTCAGTAATCAAACTTCACATCTGACCTAAACAATCTGTAGGCTAACCCTTCTAAGACAGGCTAGATGTGACTGTAAACAACATTGTGGCACCACTAGTAGTCATCAGCAATATACATTTTCATTATAAGTATATCATATAAATTTGTTTCAATAATGTTTTTGTTATTGTCTAGTATATAAAACTTGCAGTTTAATTTGCTGTCCATATTCTGATGGACTGTATATTTCACTGAAAACACTTACGATGCCAAACTGGTAAGGAATGAAGTAGTAACAAATTGGCTTTCTCTTTACATGATTTTCTCTAAATATATATTTAAAAAAATGAAGGATGGTGTCATAATCTACAACAAAAACTTAAATGTAGAGTGCAGCCATGTTACAATTTGATGTATATTCAAGGGTTTATAAAAAAAAAAAAGATTTTTGATGGTCTAATAACCCCTGCATCACTTGGGGTCAACCAAGGTTGATAGTTTAATAATGTCCATGATAAAAAGAGAGTTAGACACACCTAAAAGTTGCAATATGCTAATTGAGGGGACCCATATTTGCCAAAACTCTCATCAACTTTTGGAACCCATAACGGAAGAGTTCAAAATCAGCAACTTTTGCATTATGAAAGCTTGGCTTCAACATTCACAAAACTACATTCAAACAAATGACAGGTTAGTAATCACATATCTTTGCAAGATTCCTGAGGACAATAAACACAGCAAAAGAAAGTGCCAGCAACATAATCTCATGTCAACGGCCCAACATGCCTGCAACCACAGCACATGAAAGTTGTATGACAGTGTACATTTCCAAAATAAAGTTGACAGAGGCTGGATTAACTATCTCCCATTACTACATGATTCATTTAAACTGCCTTAACAATGAGCAAAAAAATTCAACAGATGAAAAAAAAATATATATATATATGTATATGATTACAAAACAAAATACCTTATATAGAGATTTACTTACCTCTCATTTGCTTCCTTTAACTCGTTTTCCAATTTTTCTTTTTCTATAATCAACGATGACGCCCTCTCATTTTCCTCTCTCAGTTGTGTATTTGCACTTACTACTTCATGCTGCAACTGGCTTGTCTTTTCTTGATAGTACTGAAGTGTTACTA